CCCACACACACACACACAAAAAAAAAACGGACTTAGTCAGTTTCTGAATATTTTCCACCCTGTAAGATAGGAAATATACAGGCTAACAGCTGAAAACCCAAGTGTTTGATATCAGAAAAGGAACGTTCATAAATTATGATGGAGATTGTTCTGTCAAATTAGTTCCCTATGAGGTAAGTGTGGATTCATGAATATGAGACAGGGAAACATCAAGTCGTTTTCTCCTATTAGAAAAACCGTGTCCTTAATATATTTGGAGAACTATGCAGACCAGTTATATGAGATGATTTGATGCTTGAGATGTTTTTTCTTTTTCAACTTTCTCATTTTATTTGGGAAAAGAAAATATTCATGCTTTTATAAGTTCATTCTATGTGTATTTCCAGGGTCTTAAAATGTTTGCACTTCCACTTAGAGAAAAGTCTAGATAACATTTTTATGCCCTGCGCTGTGTTCATTTAATTGCAGTTGCAGCAATTGTTAGATCATGACTAAAATGTTAATAATGAGAGACGGACATAGTTGACAATACTAATTTGAAAAGTGGAAGGCTATTCCTAAATTTTTTAACATTCCACTTACACACACTTCACTGAGTTACATTCCCTGATTGCTTGTAGTGTCTTACTGTCATTGTCCTTCCACCATTGCTACTTGTTACAATATGCCGAGTACCAGAGAGTCCGATTCCAGCTACTGTCATTACTGATCTTTACTTTGCTTTGTCTTGACACCCTCAACCATCATTTCATAATAGTGCTCTTCTATCTCTAGCTTACCTTTAACTCCTTCTAAGTTCAAATATTGAATATTCTTCAAGATGGTCATTTGGTAATACTCAGTAGAATTGATAGCAAGTAAATATGCAATTACTGGAAGCAACATCATTGAAGGAGTAAGAAAAGTTATGACAATCTGATGATATAGAGAAGACATCGGGGTATCAATTTGGTATTAAAATTTGCAAGAGTTATGTTTCTATGCGTAAGTCTTTCTTCTGGTGGACCTATTTCAGAACTTCCTGGAGATTGAAAATCTATCATGAACTTATTAGCTAAAAGAGGAATTCAAAAGTTACTTCTCAGACTTGTCTTGTTTCTTTACGCTTCCAATCTCACAATTGTTCCTCGTTCCTTAGCTCCAGTTGGTCACAGTTGCATTGCAGATGTAATGCCAATGATCAACTTGAGATAAGCCTTCTTTTTGGCCTCGGTGAACATGTTGATAATTGACTACTATCACCATGTGCACGTAATATCTCCCAACTTCAAGTTACCTTGTTTACATTATGATATAAGCACAAGAGGATGATCTTAATTACATGGTTATTCTTGAATATGCTAGATCACCTGAATGAAGTAACTGTGACTGGAAATGGAAATAAGAGGACTTATTTCTCATAGTTTAGAATGGACCAAGATAGTCTAGCACGAGCACAGCTTACGCATAATGTTTTGTTGATAATATTTAGTATTTCTTGGCCATTCTTTAGGTCTTTGAGGGAGAAAGCGACTTTATAGCAGGAATAATGGAGTCATCTGATGAGCTCTATGCTGCTGCTGCTAGCTTGGGCATGGATATACGGATCTTTTATTCATATTCTTCTGAGATGACTGATGAGATCATATTATCGTGCATTGAACTTTCATTGAGGACAAGCAGAGGACTTTTTCCTAAGATGCATGAGACACAAACGCTGGCAGAATCATTCCTTTCTGCATTTCCTTCAATCAATCCACTCTCAGCTCATGCAATATTGTCTTCAGCGGGCTTGCTTGTTGAGTTTCTGGAATGGACACATGAACGCAGAATTCATGCAGTCCAGAAATATCAGGTTCCTGATGAAAGCATCACATTACTGAGTGCTTTGAGCAGATTTGGGGAGCGGGAGGATTCTAAATCGGGAATGACAGATTGCTCCTCTTCAGTTTCTTCTGCTCCAGGCTCTGAAAGTCTTCATTTTAAAAGCAATTCTGTGGGGACGAAAAGAAAAACCACCTGGAATACTGAAAATCTTAATATGCCTACAAATGAGTTGTTTGATTTTGATCCACCACTAACATTTTCTAAAGACAGACCGAATCATCCCAGAGCATCTGGCCTGTGCGATTCTCGGATTTCAGAAGATATCGACTTTTTTGATGAATTTGGGAATTCTAGCTTATCATTTGACACAGAATTGTGTGTTCAAAGACAATCATTAGACACCTATGGGACAGAAGATCTTTTTAAGGTAACTGAGCTCTGCGATTATCAGATGAGAAAAGATCCACAGATGGGAAATGAGTTAAATAAACTTGAGGCTCCACAATGTTTGCGTCCAAGAGAGAGAGTTTACGTGCGTATGATGAACAAATTGGATAGAAAAAATAACTATTCAGGAAATTTTAAAGAGGATATCACAGATGAGGTTATTGATATTGACGATACTCCTGCAACTAGAAAAGCTTTTCGTAATGCAAAATACAAGTCCTTTTCTACCCTGGAGCATGCAATGGAAAGGTCCAAAACAGGGGTTCCTAAAGCTGCTAAAAAACTCTTTTTTGGAGCAAGTGGTCTCCAAGAATTCCCAACCACTGTGGATATTGACTCTAGCCCAGATGCCTGCACTTCTGTGAGAAACCACGGGCAAGGATCAGGGCAAGGAATGGGACAACATTTAAATGCAGGTTTCTATCATAAGAAGAGTCAAATTAAGCACAAGAAAGGTGTCACAGAAGAGGGTGTATCTGAGAAAGTAAATTGTTTGAGTGACCTGACAGTGCAAGACAATAATACAGCTTGTTATGGCGAGACACCACTCTCAAGCGCACGTCAATCCACTCGATTGCAGCAAGGTTCACCCTGGACAATTGAATTTCTGAACAAAATGAGGGAAAAGAGTCGGTCACGTCAGCAGTTTCTCCCACGTGACCTATCAGCCCCTTGGCATGGATACCCCGGCAAATCATCAGAAGTCACAAATAGAAAGAGTCCATCTACTATTGAATTTTACAAGTATCAAGGAAACAGTTGCCAAGAGGCAGGGACCAGGAGAAAGAGGCCTATGAAATGCATACAGCTACCAGCATCCACTACTGAGAAGGCTTCAGATCGTTTCATTCCAACGTGGACACCCATTGATAAGAGGGCAAAACGGGTATGCCTGCTGAAATGATATTTTGGTTTTTAACTGAATTTAAACTGTTTTTCTTTTCAAATAATTTGATATATCCTCATTGGATAATTCTTCACAGTTTGACTAACTGCAGGTGCTATCATTTGCAACAAATGGAAATGGAGGGCAAACTAACCTGGTATGGAGTGATAAGAACTCTCATACATTGGGTAGACGATATTAACTCTCTTTTATGAGGTATATTGGGCCAATACAACTGAGCTCAAGTAAGTGTCAGCTCATAGCGTTTTTTTAAACCTTACATTCCCGGGACATTAAATATTATCAAATTACATGATCTTTTACAACTCATATTGCATAATTCTGCAATTGCTGGTGTCGGAAAAATGTCGTTCACCATGTACCGAACATCTTATTTTTAATATAGTGATATACTTCTATGATGTAAACATGTTATGACTAGAGAAGCTAATGTCGATACTTGTAAACGGAGTACTGAAAGCTAAAGAATATACTGATAATGTTATAAAAGGGGGCACACAAGGCTTCTGACTTTCATCTGAGACTTTTTGGTTTATCTAAGGTAAAGTTGCGCCGATGATATTTAAGGAAGCCTGCACTTAAAACAAACAAAAAATGACCTTATTATGAATAATTTCCCCCTTCTTTGCCTTTTATTTTTGTGTGGGTGGGTGGGTTACCACGCTTGCATGGATTCTGTGCAGCCTGATCTGCATAAATTGACCAGCTGTGTGGGTAGTATCTGAAAAAAAGCACCATGCATGATCATGGTAAAGGACTACATACAAGTTTGAATGACTAGCTTGTAGAGTCATACTAGTTCTTCCTTGTCTATCCCAAAATGATCTCTTTTATGTACTGAAAAGTTGACATACTTTAAAATTTATTCACATTTCTATGATGTGAATAATTTGTGAACATTACCAACTGATCTATAGATATTATGTAAAATCTTACAAAAGGAAGGGAAACCTGGATATACTGCTTGCAAGTAATCTAGTAAGTAGACAAATTGTGTTAGACAAAAATGGATAGAAGATAATGATAACAACAGATTCTAACAGGTGCATGACCCTCGTTACCACGACAAGATTGCTTGTCTATGACATGGAAGTTGATAATTTGAGGAATGGAAGCAACTTATAATTGCCAGGGAATCCGCATATTCAGACCTTATTCATGGCTGCTTCATTATCTTCTACAGAGGGTTGCTTTTGTGCAAATCTAATGATTCAATCATTTATTTACCAGTGGACAAACTGCTACCTCTTTCCATTTTTCAAATTGCGCAACGCCATGACAAGTTGTTGCCTTTCACCTTCTACTTCTGCAAATTTGAGACTTATTTCTGAATATCTCTCTTCCATTTCCTTCAATTCATGCTCCATGTGGTTGTTTTTCTCTTTCAATAAAGCTACTTCACTTAGTAATTCTGGATCAAGTATATTTTGAGTATGGCCATTGATCGTTTCTGACGCTCTCCCTGGATCAACTTCTCCACTGCAGAAGGAGCATAAAATTAAGATTCGTGTCTGCTTTATCCTTCCACAGAACTGCATTTCTTGTTGATAAATTTATATGAATAGATGCATAGCAATGGTTCAGTAGTCCTATTAGTTTACCTTGTTATATTTGCAATTTTTCTGGGTCCATTCTGCACAAATGTTTCTTCTGTAAAGGCATCCTGTTGGTGGTGAATGTTCTCCCTAATACAATTTCTTCCTCCAGCAACAATAATGTCCGGAGTTGCCTCCTCAGGTGGTTCATCCTCCTGTATGTCAAGACCAGCAGTTCCTTTAGAATTGTAGTGATGTTTCGTGAAGACTTCTGTGAATCTTTTTCTAAGCAGAGTTAAAAACTTGAATGAGAATACAAGATTCTAAGGTGTAGGAAAACTGACACAAAATGTCAACAAGTTGGTTTTCAGTGGAAGCGACTCATTTTATGTCTGTGCATATGTACTTAAAATCTAGGTCAATGGTTTAATATATACTCTCTTTGTTCCATATAATTTGACAATTTGTCTTGCATGAAGATGATAGTTGTAGAAGAAAATATTAAAGTACTAGGAGTTGTGAAGTATGTGCTGAAGCTCCAGGAACCGTGACGTCATACTGGAAAACGAACCTGTTCCATGAATTTGGATTCTTGGAGCATGCAGAACTTGTATAGATTGTCATTATTTATAGAAGCATCAAATACCGAGTGTCTAAAAAGGAAATATATTATAGAAAATGGGATTAAATTTCCCATCAACCTGATGAATGCTTAATTGCTTATACTTACCTTGAAAAGAACCTGTTTGTGAATGACATCACTATTATTCTTTATAATATTCTCTGAATTTAATTCACTTGTAGGCATTCAATATTATTTTTGAAGAAAGGGATAGACCTAAAACATTAAGTGGACCAGTTTCTTCTCTTCTCAAGGCTTGAATATTGAAATGAGTAATATCATACGTTTTAGGTGTGTAACTTATTTCTAATGCAAAGTACCTGTTCCTTCTCTTGGCGGTGTCCCTGTAATTTGAACACCAACTTCATCAAGTTCTCATTTTCCAACTTTAGTTGATCTGTACTGCATCTCATTTCGTCATTCTGAAGTTGTAGCTTCTCTACTTCTGATTGTAAGGTCTCTTCTATGTTCTTCTTTTGATCCACTTCAGTCCTCAGGGGAATTAATTCCTCCAGGAACATTTCTGCGTCCCTCCTCACTGAAGCTAGCTCTCTCTCCAATTCCTTTTCCTTGGTCAACTTTTGTTCTATCTCCATTTCAGCAGTTGATTTTTCCATTTGTGGCGCATCATATCTGACTTCTCCTCTACGCTCCATTTCTTTGCAGTGCTCTGACCCCGCTATTTTTGGTCTTCCAACCTCCATTGATGAAGCTTTCAGCTCAAGAACTTCTCTTTCATAATGATCTTTTGCTGATTTAAGTTCTTCTTCGGATTTCTGCAGCAATTCCTCTAAAATTTTGTTCTTCTCACGCAGAATATTTGCTTCTATCACCGCATCACTGGCCAGTTTTTCTCTCTCATCAATCTTCAATGTCATTTCATCTGATAGCCTTTTTAATTCTTCTTGAAGCTTCTGAGCTGCCTTAGCATTACTCCACCTTGCCCTTCTCAATGCTTCCTCTGCTTTTATGGCCCTCTGTTCCTGCTTAACTTTGGCTTGGGTGACTTCTTCCAGATGTTCTTCAAATTCCTGTGCCTGCGTTTCCAGTTCTTTCTCCAGCGTTGAAACATTTGTTTCAAGTTCGTTTATCGTATCCAATGATTTTGAGTACTGTAATGTTTGTCTTTTCATTTCTTCCTCTAGCCGCTCCACCTGGAGTTTAAAGTGCTTAACAGCGGCTAAAGATTCTGAGTGTTCTTGTTGAGTTTTCACCTTTTGCTGCTCACATTGCTCTAGGTTATGATTAATATCGTCATTTTCCTCTTTTAACAATTGACAATGGCTTTCAAGCTGATCCATCTGTGCTTTCAGCTCTTCGTTGTCTTTCTTGTAGACCTCTATTTCATTCTGTAGTTTTTCAATGGTCTGCTTCATTGCTTGAGATACATCGGCAATTTTAAGCTCCTTAGCTTTTCTATCTTCATTCTGACCAATCTTGAGATGGTTTGCCTCTGCAACAGCCTCTAGCAAATCCTTACTGGACCTAACTTTTTCGGAAAGATACAAAATGTCCTTATCTTTCTGGTCCAACATTTTGTTGAGGTCTCTTACTGTAAGAATCAGTTCAGAATTTGAGTCTTCTGTCTTTTGCAGCTTCTGCATCAATTTGTTATTTAAGTTCTTCTCATTCTGAAGTTTATGCCTAATTTCTTCCAATAGAGCTGTCAAACTTTTGTCGTCCAATTCTATATTATCTGAAACTACTGCATCCACCTTATCTGTGCATCTCAGGCTAAGTTTCTCACATTCGGTTTTAAGGACATCTCTCTCCTCTTTTAGGTTGGCAATTTTTCTTGACTGTTCCTGTGCCTTTTTGGTCTCTTTCACAGTTTGCTTTCTGAGTGTCTGTAGTTCTATTTCTGACAGTTCTGCCTGCCTCTCAAGCATTATGATCTTATTTTTCATTGACTCAAAACTGTTACTTGAAGATTCTTGGGCGGTGTCTCTCAGAAGGTCCTCCTCTGATTTGTATGTAGTATCAATTAGACTCCCATCTAAATCAGATCCAAGCGAGCAATCTGTGGACGACCTCTGATGCAGATGTCTTTCGAGGGGATTAGCTGCATTTTGGGGTGTGAACCGTTTCACAAGACTGTTTTTTGGTTGAGGATCCCGTGGGACACTATTTTTCTTGTAATAATGAGATGTTTCATTCAAATCCTCACCCTGGGGAAGATGAAACAAAAAGTTCAGTTGCAATTTGCAGCTATGAGATATAAATAGCTTCTATGAAGCCTGGACATTTTAAAAGTGTCAGTCTATCAGTCTAGGACAACATGGGCAAGATGTATTTGGAGCCCAGGGAATACTTGCCACATGACTCTATCTGAATTGCTGTATTTGATTGCTTTTGTCATCTGGACTTTAGCTTCTCTCAAATGTTTCATGAAATTTTCTATTTGGGAAAATGTAAAAGTTCAATTAAATATAAGTATAGGAGACTTAAAAAGGATTCTAGCTGATGAAAACATACAAGGCAAGAGAATAACATAGAAATTTATCCTTGAAGTAAGATAATACAGGTGTAACAATAATGATATTGTTGATAGAGATTTAAAATGTTACTATATTTGTTGTATAAGTTTTTCCAAGTGTTTATAATGGCTTTGGCAAACACCTATCGCATAAGGCTTTATTCAGATTCTTTTACATGTATGTGAAAACCTTAAACCCGTCCTCTTTCTTGTAAGTCGGATGTTCAATCCACAAGTGAACTATAGAATAGTCACACATGTTGGAGGACGTAAGGGATGTAAAATGTTTCACAGCAGTTTGTATAAAGGTGTCCAATTGGATTTGTATTGCCTCTAGATCAATTTATAAAGAGCAAAAGTTAAGAATTATGTCAGAGATTGTGTCACTGTTATTTGAGAAATGAATCTGTACGTCGATAGCCATGCCAAAAGGTTTTAATCCAAATAATTATTGTTCTTCCAAACTCTAAGGGCTTGATTTAATCATTCATTTTATATAGAGAAGCTGAATTCCCAAACTTCTCTGTTCCATGTTTGTCTTCTTCCCAGTCCTTCACTAAAGTATTTAAGAAGTAATTGTTTCAAACTCTTTTCATTTTCCTCCCCACTCCAAACTATTTGAGTATGCCTTTCCTCCAGACTCAAATTTTAAGCTGGACTAGTTAAGTCAAAATGGGGGATACCTTAGTAATACTGCAGGCAGTAAAATGAAATGCATGTTAGTGTCCCACATCAGCTATGGGTGGTTGTTTGATCTTTTTATATGGTTTTGGGCAATCCTCACCTCTTGATCTAGCTTTTAGAGTTGAGTTAGGCCCAAAGTCCATTTCTTTATCATGGTATCAAAGATAGGTTCACCGTATTGTTTCACCTGATGTTGGGCCCCCATCTTATTTTTTCACGCTAGCCCTAGGCGTGAGGGCGGGTGTTAGTGTCTCGCATCGGCTATGGGTGGGTGTTTGGTCTCTTTATATGGTCTTGGACATTCCTCACCTCTTGAGCTAGCTTTTGGGGTTGAGTTAGGCTCAAGGTCCTTTGTTTATCGATGCAAAAGTATATAAATGTGAGATCTTACTTCAGTAGATGTACACTGTCCATTTCCATAATGACCATCGCTTCCTAGTTCTGTTTCAAAACTCTGATCTAGAGATTCTGTCCTTGAAATTTCACTATTTTCACTGCACCTGTTTTTGGTTAAAACTCAACTTTAGTACTCAAACTTGTAGATAATTGAAGCCGGGGTGATAACATGTTTATTGTGGTGTGAAATGCTTAATCACCTGGTCCCCTGAGCTCCTTGCATATTCTGTACTGCGACCTGTTTCATATGTATATCTTTAGAACAGCATAGTTTAATGTAAAGGCTTTTGTTTGCTTTGTTAGCAAACATTATGACAAAGTTCCCATTCTAAGACAATCTATTTTCTGTTTCCTTTCCCATTTGAGGTGCAGAGTTTGCATGTCTCTGTGTGTGCGTGTTAGGGAGAGGAGATAGAGGACATACATGTAAAATTGCGCCAGTCTCCAATGGCATCAGGGGTAGAGATACTACTAAGGTTTCAGTTGCCTCTACCAAATCTGCAAAATCAAGTCCAACTTCTCCCAGGAAACCTGATTTTGATGATCCCTGAGATAACATCATGTCTACGAGTAGTGAGCAAATATTCAAACAGAAAATGGTCAGAGTGCACATGGAGATTGCAATTCTGTAACTTACAGATGCCACAGCAAAGTAGTAAATATTTTGTTTAATTTGTCCTGTTTTTGGATCCCTGACTAATTTCACCGTCTCGTAGATGGGATTCTCCCATGAACAGGTTCCTTCGACAATTGCTGCTTTTCCTAGTCTCACTGTTGGCTTTCCGGCATCTGCTGGAACTAGTGAAATCATTAGTTTTTTGGCTTTTAGCTGAGGCACCTGAAATCATCATAATGTGTGAGATTCGTAAGCTCAGTGGGATCAAATTCCAAAAGTATAGCTTAGATTGAATCAAGCTTGTAGAGACTGCAATCACCCTGAATATGCTGTATTGGTTACTAGATGCAGTTAACAGCATTTGAGAAGAAACTGACCCTTATGAAATGGAAGGGGAAAAGAAAACAACTTTCCACCATCCTGTTATCATACCTGTGTTACTTGAAACTGCATTCTGAATACAGCTTTGATTTTCTCCTTTTTCCATTTCGATGATTTGAACATGATTGTTAAATCAAGAAATGAATCTGCTTGACCTTTCTTTGGAATTTGAGAAAAGTTGACTGCTTCACTTTACTCTGTATTTGGCATTTTTTGGTTTCAGACTTCAGAGTAGAGATAAAGCTGTCCTCCAGGCTCTAGTTGAAGGTTGCAGATGCTTTGCTTGGTATAAAAGTTGAAAGAAGAAAGAAGAAAGAAGAAAGAAGAAAGAAGAAAAGAAAATGAATATAATAAAATATGCAATGTGAGTATCAGATAACAACAGCTAAATGTGTCGTACTATTTTTAGTACATAATGGAAGGAATACCTTTATTTTAGTTGAAGTAAAGAGATCATGAGTAAGTGCCCTGCTATGACACAGCAATTCTTTTATGGCACAAGCTTGTCTTCCTTTTCTTTATGTGGGACTCACTGATCCGAATCCAGACTGTCATTTGAGTAGAATAATTTTTTTTCCATGAAAGGTCAAACTGTTTTCTGTCTCCACCTTCAGTATTAAGAAGTTAGCTAACTTTTTAACCAAGTAATTCAAAGTTTTAGTTGTAAAGAGACTTGGACTTGGACTTATAGAAGTTGAGATCTTTACTCAATAATGACTTCCGCTTTTTAGTAGACATTTGCCTTTGTTATGCTGTCATTAGTAAGTTGAGAATTGAGATACCGAGCTTTGTTTCTGAAATGGAAGGTATTTTTCATTCTATTTTAATCTTTCTCTTGTTTAAGCTGCAAAGTTCAGATCTGCAACAATTGATAGTTTATTGTTATTGGGTTTCTTTCTGACACTTACAGTCTGATTTGAGTTACAGATGACCAGAAAAAAGTGTAGGTTTGGTAAAATATGATGCTACCACTGAACTGATTTGGGTTTTTCCAGATGTGCCCCCAAGACCCAACAGAGACGTTGTTAAGACTATAACACTGTTGACTTCTTAGTCTATACCATTCTTGTGTAATTTTGCATATTACAACGGTACTCTTTTTGTTGGTTCTTCCATTGTGATCTGTAAATGCGGGTTTTCACGTGATGTAACATGGCATCCCTACCTCCACCATACCTGTCTTTCTTTCCCCAACTGCAACAAGAGAAATCATCTTTTTTTTTTCTCCACAATGGTGAAAACCAGGCTAAAATTTTAGAATTTGATTTATATTCTCAATAATGTAAAGAATTTTCGTTTGTTCATTGTAAATTTGATTTAAATTGCTGATTGCTTCTTTGATTGATTGATTCTTAAAGATAAGCATTCAGACAGTAGTATAGGCAATGATATATATCAATTTTCTGCTAGTTTGATTGCACGAGTCCTTGTATATCACAAGTGACCTAAGAAAAAGAATCCTAAATCAAAATGTTTAAAGAGTCGTGTGATGGGTGAAGATCCAGCACAATACGTAGAGCACTTTTATTCTGCCGTGGAAGCTCCATATCCAGGAAGAAGGAAGATGGCGGACACTGTCATGTGTTATCTATTTTCTACTTCCAATTATCCATTTACACGTTTATTCTACACAATTAATTAGCTGCTAAAAAATGTGTGGATGTTGGTAGATGTAAACGTTGCCAATTAAATGGCAAGCTTTAATTGCGGAATGATGGATATTAATGTCCAGCACGTGCTGAGACAGTCCCTACACAGCTATTCATGTGAGTTGCATTATTAATTGAACTCACCGAGAAAACCGATCATTTGGGTCCTGTTTTTTCCATATGAAAATAGCACATCTTGGCCTTTTCGTTATTCTCCCCACTTCGTCTGTCTTTTCAGAATTTGAAAGGAAAATACATGAGTTAAGCAAGACTTTGCCTTGTTAATCAACCATCTTTTGCTCGACCTCAATCAATATTCATGGTAGTTTGACTCCGCGCAATATTTAACAAAAATAAATAAATTTAAAACTCATAATCTTAAACAAGTCATAATACTTGTATAGTTATTATTAGATATTTGAAACTTGCGTCTTAAATGTTCCACGTGGCTATGAAATTTCTAAAGGTAAAATGAGTAAATACAAAGTTAAATTGCTTCAAAAAAATAAAAATGTGTCATTTTTATAAGACTGACTAATATGAAAAATTTATCACATACATGAAACATGAGAACTGAGTGAGTAATAATTTAAATTGCAACTGTCATTTTAAGTTAAGTTAATTTTTCACTTAAAAATTTACAAGCATTCTTGAGAAAATAAGCGAGTGACTGCAACTTTAGTTGAGATGATTTTAATACCAATCAATTACTAGCTTCAATTCTAAATTATTCGACGTTAACTACGTGAATCCTTTATATACGTTCATCGTATATGCTAAAATGATAAATATATCATTTATTCTGTTATAAAGAATGTAAGAACTGTATGTTACCTCACATTGATAAAGAGAACTAGTAAATATGCCGCGCTTTCCGCGGTTATGGAATGAAATCAGGATATGATCAAATAGTTAATATCATTAGTTTTGCTAAGCAAAATCATGCCTTGCTAATCAATTAAGTGTGTTACTAAATGAAATGGAGAAGAACAATTTTTCCTCTTGACTTCGCTTGATCAATGATTAAATATGTACTCTAAAAAAGGGTATTATCACTTTTAGCCCGCGACAAAAACTATTTACATTCGGTAACCGAAAAAGTGTATAAAAATTTGTATATAACATACAATATATATATATATATAAAAAGTTTATACATTTTTTCGGCTATTATTTTTACAACGGCTATATAGTGTCATTTTCTCAAAAATAAATAAATAAAAAAAATACAAGTTATAGGGTCATGGCCTTGAGATAAGTCAATAAAATTGCAATAGGAACATCTTGAAGATGCAATGTGAACTTGAAATCCATGACACACCGTTTATACTAAATTTAAAATGTATATCTTCCATAACATTGGAAGCTACTTAATTGAGTTTCTTTCGGTAAAGAAGATACAATACATAGAATCTTACATTATGATGTTAAATTTGAAGCACCAACTAAAACAGATCACAAAATGAAAGTCATTTTAGATGATCCAAAATTATTCATGATAAGAATTGAAGGCCTAAAAATAAAGTTATTTATGGCACTCTTGAACAACAAAAGAGGTAAAACATCTATCAAAAAATAGAAGGCATACCATACATATAGTTCATGAGAAAGGAGTTGGATAACTTTTAGTGTTCAACAACCTCAAAACTCCATCCCGCTCCCAGAAATAAAGCTGTGGCAGAAACTTTATGAGAGGATAGCAATATTTTGTCCAATGTTTTCATAGAACGCATAGAGAATGACGATAGAAAATGAGCATATCCTGCTCTGACGGCTTAAACCTTGTTGCTTGACTCGATCTTGAAAATATAGAAGAACTTGTAATTTGGAGTTAACTTCACTGTACCATTCCATAGAACTAGCATCCTTATGTGAGTTACACTAAAATTAGATCATGTATGAAGGTTAGATCCTAACATAAAAAAAATGTACTAACATAAAAAAATGTACTAAAATAAAAAGTAAATGCAAATTTGACCTAGCCTGGAGCAACACCACCGGAAAAAACAAATCCTAATTCTCGTCCTATATATATATATGGTGTATTCTATTCTGAAAATAATATTATATGTACAAAATAAAAGTTATATTTAGTCTTACAAAAATAGGAGGAAAAGGAAATAAAAGCTACAATATAATTGACCAAATAGCACCATTTCATGCATAGCTTCCTTAAAAACTATCTATTTATGCCACTCAACATCAGTGCTCATCCACCTTTTTACAAACTGTAAGACCTCATTTAAAAAAACTATAAGAACTACATCTTTACAGACATATACCATGCCCTCCTTAATGGATTTATCTTTTAGATGACCATCATCATCCATTAAGAACAGGATTGAAACCATCAAACTGCTAACAAATATCCTAGCTTTATATATATATATATATATATTATTTGCACGGGACAAAGCATGTACAAGCTTCACTTTATAATATAAATTTGGGTAACACTAAAATTCAGTGGAAACTGAATTGCATTATTCTCTGAAAAATGCAGCTATTTAATCAAGTTGCAAGAAGTCCTTGAAAGCAGATTACCGGAACAAAATAAAATAGTACTTTAGTAGATTAGAACTTCTATTTCCAAGAGGAGAGTAGTTGCCAAGTTAATATCTTCTTGTGGAGGAAGAAACATTCACAACCCTTAGAGATTTAGATAATTGGAAGATTGGAATAAATGTTCAATCATCCTCTTCACACCATAATAGTTTGTTTGCACCCACTACTCTGCTAACTCATATGTCTGAGAGAATATGTTATTCCAATTGAGTTGAGATCATCCTTATTTGAGCAAATAAATGCTAAATTAATTAGTAATAAATTAGCAGGATGAATCTCAGTTGAACTTAATAATCTCCAGATCAAACGGAGCGAAGCTCTTATACGATGAGAGGTTAATTTACAAGCAAAAATAGGACTTAATATGCAATGATTGGCAAGATGTGCAATATCATAATAGTGTAATAAATATAAGGAATAACAAGGAATATAGCATAAAAAGAATAATCACCCAATGATTATATGATTGGGTATTTCCCTTCTTTGCCGATATGGAATGAAAAGTAGTTGATATCTCTATGGGACTTTAAGATTATAGTTAAATGATGGACAATATGTATATTGATGAAATGAATGAGACAATTTTGTCGTATCTTCTTTCTTTCCAATTTTATAACCTCTTTTAATTCTCAAAAAGGGCAGGCTCCTCCTTGTTTACTATCCCCTCCTATTTATAAGGGATATTCCCCAAAAAATCCTAAAAAATACAACACAAAGAATATTCCAAAAGTATATTCTTTCTGTATCTTTCGGAGTTGACACTACCGACCCTACTTTACTTCGGCTGCTCGTCTCTGGCCGTCATCCTTTGCCACAACGCCGTCAGTCGTCATATTGTAACGACTCCGCTCTCTGGCCTCGCTTACCCGTCGTTGTGGTGGTCAAATTTGGACCAATACAGTTAGTCCCTCCGCTTGTTGAGGTCGTGGCCTTAAACGTCCTCGATGAGCGGATATCACTTGTTCCCGTTGCTGAATTTGGTTGTTGTCATGCTGGTTTGGCCAAAGTTGAGAGGTTGACACGTCGATATAGTTATCAGGATGTGACGTCACTCCCACGTGCGTCATCATTATGCACCTTCTCGAGACAATGTCTGATTTGCATGTCGTTTTGGTTTTAGCACCACTGACGGTTTTTCGCTTCGATTCCCGCGCCATCCAACCCTATAAATAGGTGAAGGTTTTGTTTCTTCAGAAACTTTTAGCCACTTCTTTGTGTGTCCATTTCCAACACTGATCATCTTCATCAATTCTTCAGCTTAGTTTTCGTAGTTTCACTTCTCTTTTTTTGTTTAACCACCGTTCCTCATTTTAAGTTTCACCAACACACCTTCTATTACCACGATGCCCTGAACACATGAAGAGGTTTCCGACGCCACTCCGTTATCCATGACCCCTCCTTCCGGTGGAGAAGATATAGCGGCTGAGGAGGGGGGGATAGTTTTCCCACCGTAGAGGAGATACTACCAAGAAATCCTATGTCCAAGCATGATTTCCACAAGAAACCTGCCCCTTCTCTTGTTCCGGTGGTCTTCAAAACTGGGCTGGCTCATATAAATAAACTCCGGTCTTCGTACAATATTTCCCCTCATGTCGAGATGGTTTCAGTTGAGAGGGACCTCGTGGAGGTCCATAGACCGAGATATTGTGCTTTCTACGTGTACCCTTTTGTGATTGGTCACACTCTCCCTCTTCTTCCATTGGTGGAGGAATTTTGTCGGTTCTATGAGGTCTGTCCGACACAACTATCTCCGTATATGTATAAAATCTTTCTAGTTTTGACGAAGTATGCGGAGTTAGCTGGGTGTAAAGTTAGCCTTCATCACCTTTTATATTTATTTTCCCCGAGTTTTCATAGGGGCACCATGATACACCTGCGGCATCGCGGGACCAAGGGGTTGGTGATCGGAATGGATGACCGAGCGAGCTGCAAATTCGTGTACGAGTACCTCTTCATCAAAACTGAGTACCTGGTGTCGGGCCCTGCTGGATTTCCAGAACGATGGAATCACAACCATAGGTGTTGGCGCTACTTATTTACTTTCATTCTTTCTCATTTATATTTACTTGTGACTTTTCTGTACAGCTA